ATATAAGCGTCTGAGTGATTATTTTATATGTGGATTGTGGGACTGCGGGGCTTGGGGAACCCAGAGGGAAGCCCTCCAGCAACACTTGTCTTTTGAGGAAACAAGTTCTGCAGACAAGTTGGCCAGGTAAGTTTAGCTGTGGATTTTCTGTCTCTCTGATCTTCCCAATGTTCTGAAATAGGAGCCTGTTAGAGGACATTTATCCAGCAGGTCTGCATAGAGAGGATGATTGGACCCAAATACCTGGCTCAGGTTTCATTTTATTAATAAGAACTTAAAGATTCCTGCTACATCCACAGATGTCATATATTGGAATGGCATAACAGTTAAAAAAATTATATACAAGAGATTCTGCATGGCAGAAACAGTGATACAGAAAAACAAGAATGCAAAGTTGAGCCTGTGAGAACATATATGGCAACAGGATAATAAGAAGTAACTTTTCTGTGCTATACTTTATGATCCATACTTTATTTTCTTGGGTCATAGGTGGGGTAGTGTCTACAAATATTACTACTCGATACTTTTCGTGACTCTGAAGATCACAAAGGAATGTACAATGCCATAGCCATCCCCACAATAAATATCCCAGGGTAGAGTAAAGAGCAGGATTTTCTCATCTCTGCCAGGTACTAAAGCCTCAAAAAATTATTTTCCTTGCCCATACAGCAGCACTTCAAGCCTGACACACAGATGCCATATCATTAAGGGAAGGAGCAACTTCAGAAGAAGAAAAGGGCACGGTTCCTCTAGTCTCTGCCAGATATGATCACAAGAAGTGAATTCAAACTAAGACAGGGAGGGTACATATTTAAAGACAAGCAGTATATGCAGAAGCAGGATCAGCTTGCTGCACATTTGACAGGATTAGGTGACTCAGGCCTAAAACGGTAGGAATCAAACAATCACTGACTTTGTGAATTTCCAAGGGTTCTGTCTTTTGTGCATGTTAGGATTAATCTGCTTTGTCTGGATCAATGTACAAAAGGGTATGGTTATACCAATGAGCAACTGAGATGCCAAATATAGCCAGAGCCTGACAGGTAAGAACCTACACTGCTGAGAAGTTTATTAGCTCTCCTTGCCTCTGAAGAGAGAGTGTGTGTTTTCCATTTGTGTCTGGAATAGGATCATGTTAGAGTCTATTTACCCAGCAGTTCTGCATAGAAAGGATAATTGGACCATGTATCTGAGTGCAGGTGTCTGACATGTTCTACACTTTACTGTACTGGGGAGGGTTTTTTTGCTCCACCTCGTGACATTTCTTTCAATACCCTAGGACACACATATTTAAATCTAGGCAATCTGGAGGCTTATCTGTAATTTCTATCTGTTACTTGCCCCTCTATCCTTCTACCTAATATTTCTTGCTGCTTCTAAGCAAGAGTACTCTGGGGAAATGTGGGAGTTGGCAATGCCCCCACACATGAACCAATCCGGAGAGTGATCTCAAAATTACAAATGGAAAGCAAATCCCGACGTTCTCTTTGAGATCTGTTTCAGAGCTGCTGAGTCATTTCACCCTCCCAAGTAAATGTGTGCTGCAGTTATAAAAACGAAACTGAAAACGGATGACTGGAAAAAATGCAATGTAGCCTAGGACCAGAATGCAATTCCCAAATGAGAAAAGCATCCTGTGGTAAGTATGGGGTGATCATGCTTATTTGTGGAAGCTGGCACTTGAAATTTTCATGGAATCCCAGGTGGATTTGAGAATATTCCCTGTCACAGTCATTTTTTAAAGGGTCCACTGAGGGAGCATGTGAACAATACATCCCTGTTTTATGTCAGGAATTGTTTTCCAACATAAATATTCTTTGCCAATATTGTGATAATGCAGAATACAAGACTGAGGCAGAAATCACAGATACTAAGCCTGAAGCAGTGGCTTCAGAGACAGGAGCACATTTCCTGCACATCGAGCAGATGCAGGTGACTCAGAGAAGGATTATAGGAAACCCTACCAATTTCTTGCCTATCGTAAGTTCATATTACCTTGGTCTGTTGCAGGGCTCTGGAGCAGGTTTCCTTAGCTGCAGTTGTTACAGCCATGCTCCTGACAAATTCCAGCTGTGAGCTGGAATTTAGCCAGGAGCCTGGCTGGGAAAACCCTTCAGTGCAGGCTTTTTTATTTGATCAGACTGCCTCATATTTGAATAGACATAGACTAAGAACCAATAAGGAGTGTGATCTGAAACCAAGAATAGAAAGCAAATGACATCAGTGAATTTGGAGATCTGAATCAGAGCCGCTGACTCATCCATCCCTACCTCCTGTGTTCTTAAAGAAGCAGGGAACCTGAAAGGGGAGCACAGGATAAAACATAAATTCCCCCAGGCTCTGCATCCAACTAACAGTAGAAAACTGGCTGATGTTGGCTGGTGGGCTGAGCTAGTGTTCAGCACCTTTGTTCTAAACCCTACCTATCTACAAGAAAGGCTCCTATCCTCTCTGCACTTCTCTGATTTTGACTCTGGGCCACCACGTGCCTCTCACATCTCTCTCTGTGGTCCTTTTGTTTCTGTTTCTATTGTGGTATTTATTTCATTTTTTTGTTTGTTGGTTGGTTGTTTAGAAATTTGTTTTCTCTGTGTAGCTTTGCTACCTGTCCTGGATTTCTTTCTCTAGAACATGCTGGCCTCTACCTCACCGAGTTCTGCTTGGCTCTGCCTCCCAAGTCCTAGGATTCATTTGTGAACTGCCCCCTTGCAGGTCTGCAAAAGTCTGCCATTAAACCTTTCAGACCTCATTCATCCATTCTCTCTGTGTATAACAGTAAGAGAGGGATATGACATAGGTGACCTAGGGCATCATCTAGGACCCTCCTTTGCACATGCAGTATACCTATCAAAAAAAACTAGACCTCACTGATCAGGGATGGGTACCATAGTTGTGCTTTAGCAGCTGCTAAGCTCCTTTTTTGGGAATCAAAGAAACTAAACTTCGGGTCACTCACAACTCTCATTGGGTAACTCACAACCTGTCTCATCTCTTAACAGTCCAATTGAGAAATGGGCTTTAGAACTAAAGACAGAACTCTCAACAGAGGAAACTCAAATGGCTAAAAGACATTTAAGGAATTACTCAACATCACTAATCATCAGGGAAATGCAAATCAAAAAAATTATGAGATACCACCTTAAGCCTGTCAGAATGGCTGAGATCAAAAACACTGAGGACACTTTATGCTGGAGAGGATGTGGAACACAGGGAACTCTCCTCCACTGCTGGTGGTAATGAAATCTTGTACAAGCACTTTGGAAAGTAATATTGCATTTTCTTAGAAAATTGGGAATCAATCTTCCCCAAGATCCAGCTATACCACTCTTGGGTATATACCCAAGGAATGCTAAATCATACCACAAAAGCACTTGCTCAGCTATGCTCATATAAGCAGTGTTTGTAATAGCCAGTACCTGGAAACAACCTAGATTCCCTTCAACTGAAGAATGGATATATAAAATGTGGTACATATACACAATGGAATACTACTCAGCAGAGAAAAAAATGATATCATGAGGTTTGAAGGAAAATGGGTGGATCTAGAAAAAATCATCATGAGTGAGGTAACCCAACTCAGAAAGACAAACATGGTATGTACTCAATCATTGGAGGATACTAGATGTGGAACAAGGATGACTGGACTGCTACTCACATCACCAGGGAGGCTATCTGGAAAACAGAACCCCAAGAAAGACATGAGGATTGCCAATTACAGAGAAATGACTGAGATCGACATGAACAACCTGGACATGAGTGGGAGTAATGAAGGGCGAGGGTCAAGGGAAAGAGAGCCGGTACTGACTTACTCTGGTGATGGGATAGCCAAACACCCTAATTGTCATGCTAGAAACCCCATCCAATGACTGAGAGATCTGGATGCAGAGATCCACTGCTAGGCCCTGGGTGTAGTTCCTGGAGTCTAATTAGCAAGAAAGAGGAGGGTTTATATGAGCGAGAATTTTTGAAACCAAAATTGGATAAAGCATAGGGACATATAGCCAAATAAATGGAAACACGTGTACTATGAACCAATGGCTGAGGGGGCCCCAACTGGATCAGGCCTTCTGAATGGGTGAGACAGTGGATTGGCTTGATTTGTTTGGCATCCAGGCGGTGGGACCAGGTCCTATGTTCATGGCATGCGTTGGATGTTTGAAACCTGCAGCTTATGCAGGGTCCTTTGGCTCAGCCAGGGAGAAGGTGACTGGATCAGCTTGGACTGAGTCTACGAGTTTGATCTCAGTCCTTGGGGGAGGCTTTGCCAGGGAGGAGTTGAGAATGGGGGGTGGGGTGGGGGGAAGCGCAGAGTGGCTTTCACCAGTGGATACATCACCACAGCCTGAAAACTTTATTCTCCCCTCACCCAAGAGAAATTCTTACACATACACAGTGAAACAAACAGGGCCTATTAAGTTGCAGGGAACATGAAGATTAATGCCTTGTCACCCATACTAGAATAATGTGGTATCCTCACATGGCATTGAATCCCACTGAATTGATCACACAATAAGTTTTTTTTGTTCTTCCTGATTCCATTTTCAAGTACTTCAGTCCATACTGACCTATTCTGCTTCATCAGTTTCCCACTGTTGACTCTAATAGCATATTCAAATTTTTAACTAACTACCCAGCTAATTGTTAAAAGACCAACATCAGCCATAGATTTGGAGGTGCAAGGATTATCAAAATATATTCACTATATATTGGGAAGAAACCCTAATCAAACAGAGGTATAAACACTTGAGTGTCAAAGGGGTCTTCACTCTGTTAAAAAAAAACATAACTATATTATAACAATCCATCATTGTTAAATGCCCTTCAGCAAGTTTTCACCTGTTTCTCCTCAATACAGAAATAATAAAGGAAACAGGTGCCTTAAGGTTTGTCTCAGGAGAAGATAAATATGCCTTTTGGGTACCAGTTAACAATGGGATATTGGTGGGCTCATGAGCAACTGAGACCCAAAATATAGCGACAGGCTGACTGTTGAGAAAATGCTCTGCTGAAAACATTTTTAGCTTTCTTGCTTCTGATGGAGGAGGGTGTGCAATCAAATTTTGTTTGGAATAGGAACCTGTTGGAGCCTATTTAGGCTTGACCCAGCAGGTCTACATAGAGAGGATGATTGGATCATGGGTCTGAGTACAGGTGTCTGAGATGACCTGCACCTGTCTGTTCAGTGGGCAGTCTTTTATCCACCCATTGGCATCGCTTTAACTACCCAAGGGCAGAGAATTTAGATGCAGGAAGAAATAGGATACAGGCACCCTTAAAGGTATACTGGATTTTATATGTATTTCTCTCCCTAAATCCTTCTAAATAATATTTCCTGCTGCTTCTACTCAAGAATTCGCTGGGCAATGAGGGGGTGGGACATGACACAACCCACAGGAAACAATATAGAGAGTGATCTCAATTCCACCAATGGAAAGCACATCCTGGGGTACTCTTTGAGATCTCCTTCAGAGCTTCTGATTCATTTCACCCTCCCAACTAAATGTGTGCTGCAACAAAACAACGAACCTGAAAGTGGATGACAGACAGGAGATGATGTAATGAATCTTAGTCCCAGAATTCTATTCTCAAAAGACAAGAATATCTCAAGGAAAATAGACAGTGATCCTGTGCCAAGTACATGGCCCTGTTTCCTGGCTATATACCTAAAAGACTCACTTTCCACCTGCAGATGGCTGATTGTGATTCTTGGCTGCAAATTTTACCTTTCAGGTAACAGTTTTTGATATGACATTTTAGATTTCCCAAATACACTTATTTGACGATTCTGAATCTTGAAATTTTCATAGACTCCAAGGTGGCTAAGTGAGAATTATCACTGACACAGTCATTTTATAATGGGTCCTCTAAGGGAGCATATGATCAATACATCACTGGTTTCTGTCAGGTATTATGTCTGAAGCAATGGCTTCAGAGGAAGGAGGACATTTCCAGCAGAGCAAGCAGAAGCAGGTGACTCAGAGAAGGGGTGTTGGCAATTCTACCAAACCCTGCTTATCCATGTTTCTACGGCCTCTGTCTGCAGCAGTTCTCTGGGACAGTTATCCTTCTCTTGTGTTATTTACAGTCAGGCTTTGGCTAAATCCAGCTACGAGCTGGAATTTAGCCAGGAGCCTGGCTATTGAAACTGTGGACTGCAAGCCTTTTTATTCCATCTGTCTGATTCATATTCAAATACACAACCAATAAGAAGAGAGCTGTCTAAAGTAGAAGGGAAAGCATATGACGGCAATGACTTTGGGGATCTCCATTAGAGCTGTGACTCATCTGTCTCTCCCTCCTTCCTGTGTGTTGTAAAAGGAGCAGGGAAACTGAAAAGGGAACATAGGATAAAATGAAATTACCATGGGCTCTGCCTCCAACTATCAGTAAATTACTGGCTTATGATCTCTTGTGGTGTTATGTGTACCAGCCACCCCCTAACTACATGATTGTGCACCCTCTGTCCATCAGTCAGGAAGATAGCTAAGGAATCCCAGGGCCTTGCCTACTAAGTTACCCTATGGTGTGTTATTATGTAACCTTCATGCAGCTTGACTACATAGTTTATGTTCCTGCATGTCATAGCTATGTGAGAGATGAATAAGCCTGCAAACAAGGCTGTCAAATCTAGCACAGGCTTTCTGACCAGCCACATGCACAGTCCAGCAGCCAGGAAAGATTTTCAGTCACCACAGAACCTTATACTACATAATACATGCACTGAATGATCAAATGATTTGTGAGAAACATGAACATGTAACCGATCTAGGCACATGCATGACATAGCTTCATAGGCACATATGCCCATGCAGAGATGTCCCATAAAAGCAGGTTCCACCAATTTCTCTGCACCCTAACATCAAAGGTTATTTCCATAGTCCTATGAACATTTTCCATATTTCCTTTGCTTTATAAACTCTGATAGTGGGTTTCCATGTACCTCAATTTTCTGTCAAAGAGTAAATAGTGCCGAAAAATAAAAAAAACTGTGAGGAATGAGTAGGACCCTCCCAGTATCTGTCAGATTCTAAAGTGTGCAGTGATTTGTCTTACTTGCAGATACATAGCACATCAGGACAGAAACAGGAATGTCATTTCTTTTTGTTTCATTTTTATACCTGTCAGAAATGCCAAGATCAAAAATAGTAATGACAGCATGCGATGAAAAGCATGTAGATTAAATGGTGTTTATGAACAGTGAGCAGTTTGGTCCTAACTGTCAGCATGGAACAACAACCTCCCAGAGCTTGTTGATCACTGCAGCAGTAATCCTGGCTCCCGGAAAGCTAAGCCATCAAGCTAGGCTATCAGTGAACCAGGGATGAAAAGCCAATCACAAATGATATGTACCAACCCATACACTAAGCTGATCCCTGTTAAACTGCAAATATCACAGGAGTTTAGAATTTGTCTCATAAGTTCAAAAACAATACAGATGTTCTCTAAAGAAATATTCAGTCCAAAAATGTCTAGACATGTAACAGTGTGCTTGAAAAAATATACCACATACCAATGACTTTGTTATTCTTTTGTAATACACACACGCACATCATACAACATAAATACTGAGGAGCCTTTTGTACATCCCAATATGATGAAAATAAACTATTTTTGAAGTAGCTACAATCTTATGTCATCATAGAACAGAAATCCAATTGCTGCTATTTAGAAGCTTCACTGGGATTGACTACATGAGATAGGGCAGAAGGTTAATCTACAGGTTAGTGGACTAAATGATGAGGAACAAAAAATCTCACTCTCATGATCTACATACCCTAAAAGAGAAAATAGTGAGCAACTCCCAAATAGCATTTTGTCATAGTGGCCAAATAATCAGGGGAGGAATCAATAATTTTTGGTTGATGATTAAGACCATGAATTGGAACGAATACCCCACACTGCATTCAATGGACAGGAATCTGAGAATAGAATGATGACAGGCTTATAAAAAAACAATTTCTTTCCTTCAGTCAGAGTCATATAAAAATAAACTGAGTCCTAATGAAATTGATATACTCATGTATATGTGCATCAATTGGCCTCCATAAG